TCCAAAGACAGTTTCCATGGTCACGTGGCCAGCGCAACTAGACACGGAACGCCATTACCTTCCCACCAAAGTTGTACCTATTTATCTACTTGTATTTTACATGCTTTCGTATGGCTAGGTTGGCAGGAGCTGGGACAAGCAACGGGAGCTCACTCCATCGCATGGATTCGATCTTACGACTGCTGGTCTTCTGACCTTGCAACACAGAGGCGTCTGCGGTTTAACCCACAGTGCCACCACGTAAAGATGAGGCCTAACCAGTGCAAATAGAAGAGAACTAGTACCTCATTGGATTTGATTATACTTCTTTTAATTCGGCCCCAAATGGCATCTGCCTTTTTTTTGTAGCTCATCATACTGTTGGCTCATATTTAGTTTGTGATCTACATTGACTCCAATATCCTTCTCACTTGTAGTAGCTAGGTATCCTCCATCTTGTAACTGTGTGTTTGGTTTATTTTTCCTAGGTGCAGTACTTTGCACTTATCCCTGCTGAATTCCATTCTGTTGTTTTCAGCCCAGTGCCCAAGCCTATCTAGATCATTTTGAATTTTATTTCTGTCTTCCAGGTGTTAGCTATTCCACTCAATTTTGTGCCATCCACAAATCTGATTAGCATTCCCTATCCCCTGATCCAGCTCTTTAATAAAAAAATACTGAAGAGCACTGGGCCTAGGACTGAGCCCTGGGGTACCCTACTCATTACCTCCTCCCAGTTTGAGAAGGAGCCATTAATCATCACCCTCTGAGTATGATTCTGTAGCCAACTGTATATCCACCTAGCAGTTCTTTTATCCAGCCTGCAGCTAGCTAACTTGAAATCAGAATATCACAAGGCACTTTGCTGAAATCAAGATATACTATGTCTACACCATTCCCACCATCTACCAGGGAGGTTACCAATGAAGAAAATGAGATCAGATTAATCTGGCAGGATTTGTTATTGACAAATCTGTGTTGGCTTCTAGATATTATTGGTTTGTTTTCTAGGTGTTTGTATAGTGACAGCTCTATAATCTTTTCCAGAATTTTCCCTGAGACTGATGTCAGACTGACATGTTCTGTAGTTCCCAAGTTCCTCCCTTTTTGAAGATAGGGACAACATTAGCCCTCCCCCAGTCGTCTGGCACCTCACTCATTTCCCATGATTTCGAGAAAATAATGGATAGTGGTTCTGAGAGTTCTTCAGTCAGTTCCTTCAATACTCTTGGATAATTTTCCATCTATATTGAGTAGTTGAGCCACTGTTTCTTTCTCTTGTTTTGTCTTTTGCTACACACATACCTCAAGAATACTTTTTATGTTTTGCTTTTTTTGTCTCTAGTTAGCCTCAACTCATTCTCAGCTTTTGCCCTTAATGCCATCCCTGCAATTCCTTGCTACTTGTCAATGCTCTTCCTTTGCAGCCTGGCCTTCCTTCAACTTCCTATGTGTTTCCTTTTTTGTTGTTGTTGTTTTCATGTCCTCTCTAAACGTTTTGAGAAGCCACAGTGCCTTTTTTGCTGTCTCCCACTTTTTTTCTTGTTGGAATTGTTTGTAGTTGAGCCTTTAGAATTTCCTTTTTTTAAAGAAACTTGGACTCCTTTCCTTGTTAGGATCTCCTGACATGGGACCTTACTTATCCTTGTTCAGAGTTCATTAAAATTGACTTTTTTATAATCCAGCAGATGTGTGTGGCTATATTCTGCTTTGGTTTCCTTACCCAGATCTAAACGCTTTATAATTTTTATGAATTCCCAGTGTGGTGTAGTGAACTAGGGCTCTGGAGAACAGGGTTCAAATCCCTACTCAGCTATGGAAACTAACTGGAGGAGTGGAACTGGTAAAAATATTCTTCAAATATCTCACCTTCAGCGTTCTCTTAGGGTCGCCATAAGTCGATTCCAACCTGACAGCACAAAACACACATACAAACACTTTATGCTCCTTCACTCCACTCCCATCTTATATCAATGTATATAAATGCTTCACCCATCATTTTGAACTGGTGCATATTCAAGCATTCAACTTAAATTTCCAGTAACAAAATTTAAATAATAGATTTCTCATAGTATATATTTGAACACAAATGCCTCATTAACTACATTTCATTGAAAACACTTGTACAATAAGTCTAATTGCAGATTGTGAGCTGACAAATTTTACCAGCATGGGTCACAACTACATTGCAATTTCCCGCTGTTTGAGACCACAGTAAATTTTGAGGTAATTTCTGTGAACGACGTATACACTTACCACAAGTATTCTGGTCCTTTTGCATGGCAATTTGTTACATTGTGATTGTCTTGTAGAGACTCCCCTTTTTTGCTAGAAATTCTGCAGGCGTGGCTTTGTTTTGGGCTCCAGCACATGTGATTATCTATATCAGTCCCAAGGGGCAGTGGTGGGTAAATCTTAGGTGATGTTGACAGCGATGTCTTCCGTGCAGCATGGTACTTGGCATTGCAGCAGGAACATCTGGCGAGCACTGTCAAATGCATCAGATAAGTGCTGCCTTCATAATTGCTTTGTGAAATTCTCTTGTGGGGAGAAGGTAGCTGCTGTTGCCTTTGAAATTAGCACAGAGACATGTTTCTAATTTACATACTGGGTTGTAGACGAAGGAGAAAAGATGAGTGTACGGTTCTTCCTTGATCCCCATCCAATGGATATTTGTCTTGCTAGCTAGGTCTCTACTTTTGTAACAGAAATTTCTTTTATTCTGCTTGTAAAAACACAGAATATGTCCTGCCTGGCGGGGGGGGGGGGGGGGCACCACCACTTGACGATCCTATACAAAACTACATCAGAGGTAGATTTCTTACTATTTTCTGTGGCTTTACTGAGCTTGTGTTAAGGCAGTGGGTCACAGAACCATAACATTTTATTACCCATTGCACTAACATTACTGTATTAGAATTTACACTTGAAGTTTTCAGACTCCCAGGTAAATGAAGTTTGATTAGGACTAATACAGGATGGCCAAAAAAAGTGGTATGTCCCAGCATGCAAAAATGAAGCAAACGTGGAGAGTCTGTATGGTTTACATTTGATCCAACCTTGCAAATATTTACCTCTGCATTATGCTGTGTTCACCCAGGCCGTCAAAGGAGTCCCCAAGGTGAATTCCGCCCCCCCCCCATGAAAGCTACTTATGCACTAGACTCTGATGATTAGGGCAGAGCTACTCGGAATGACAACAATGCGGTGCTCCGTGCTAAGACTTAACCTAGCTCTGACACTCAGTTGTATATTTCCTCCAGTTCTTTTAAAAATCAAAAGCAGTATGAACAACAAACTGCAACGCCTACCATTAAAAGGCATTTTATTTCAGTTCAGTGGCTGACATAAAATTCCTTCACCTGCTGGCATGTAATTCTATTTATTTGTCTCAAAAAAACCTGTTCAAATTGGCAAAACACAACTTTTTTGCATGCTACAGATAAAGACCAGTTCTGAACTAAAAGCTCAGCTGACAGTTCTCGTGGGCCCTCTTGGGGGTGGGAGGCAATTTTACCCTATTTTGAGAGCTCCCAGCAGTCCTGCAGTCCAAACACACTTCCTGGATTGTATTTTACACACGTATATATTTCTATCTTATGTGATCTCACTCACTCACACACTCTCCCTCTGGCCACTAGAGGGTGCACATATTTGTAAGGAAAACATGGGAGTGGGAGTTGCAGGAATGAGTCTCTCTCACACTAACGCAAACACACATGCGCGCACAAACATCCTGCTGAGAAGGCTTACACAACTTCAGAAGTTGAAAATAAGCATCTTTTCTGTTGGTCCTCAGGCTGGCATTTGCTCATGTGTTGATTATGCAAGCCTTTTGGTTTTGCAGGTGTGGCTCAGGAGAGATAAGCATCTTATCGGAGATGGTTTGGTCCTCAGAGAGCAAGACAGCAAAAAGCTGTGTTCCAGCCTGGAAAGCTACTGGTAGGCAAAGCAGTTAACACCAGGCTAAATAGAGATGTCTAGATGAAAAAAGAGGGTAAGATTCCTGACCGTGGGCTGTTTTTTACAGGAGGAAATTTTAATCGTGCAGCTTTTAATACGAGCTCCACCTGGTGAAATTTCCACCTCCACACAATTAAAGGAACAAGAACCCTGTCTCCTTCACCTGTCTGTTGCGGTACAAGGCAGTGCCCTCTTTTCATACATCTACAGAACAATAATTGTGTGCCAACAAGTTGATTCCCACATATGGCAACCCTTTCTAGAATCTTCAAGGTGCTTTATCCATTCCTTTTCCTGAGCTCACTCTGGCGCTGTGCTGGTTGTCCAAGGCTACACAGGCTGGGTCTTCTCTTTGGTGATGCAGTGAGGAAGGAATTGAACTCCCCGCCTCTGGCTCTGCCCTCCAGTATCCAGCTCACTGAACTGTTTACTCAGCTGTATGTCGTCGTTTAGTCGTGTCCGACTCTTCCTGAGCTGTATGTACCCTGATGCAAATCATCTCCCCTTCTTCACAGCCTTCACTGACTCCTTTTCTGTCTGTATAGACATGAGAACTCATCAGCGGTTTATGGGTTAATGGTGCTGATATGCAAATAGGCACACTTTCCATCCCCAGACGCTGCTTTCACATGTTCAGCTTCAGCCATAAAGAATGCAAGTGATTGTTCTGTACAGATACATATTTAATAAGTTCTGCCATGGAGAGAGGAGTATGAATTTCACTCTGGCTACAGGTCCATTGAAAGTGGGTGTGCAGGGAAAACATGGGGTCTCCTAATGACCATGAGATTGTTACCAAACCCAGCTTCACTGAAAATGATAGGCAATTAGACATTCTCTGCCCATGTGGCCAAATTCCTCTCCCACAAGGTTGGTGGGGCCACCCACCCAGCAATGTTGTCTTGAAAATCTGGCTATCACCCAGCCAGTGATGCAAGAATACTGCCCCATTCAGATGGAAAAACACAACTTGCTGGGGCTAACCTGAGTAGAATGTTTAATTTTCCACCACTGACTTTCTCTGTGGCGGCTTATTTGTTTTGCTTTATTCTTTTTAATGAGCAATTATTTGGAATGATAACTGGGACACAGCCTGTGTTCCACTCAAATGTTTCAGCTGAGGCTGATATTAAGAAAAGAACTGTGGTTTTGTTGTTGTTGTTTAAATGAGGGAGGGGGGGAATAATGATCTTCAGAGTCTGACCTCTTGGCACAACAGAGAGATTTATCAGAGGGGGCATGTGACTAGTGAAGCAAGGCACACAACCCAGGCTTTAAGGAAGCAGCTGCTCACTTATGCTTTAGCACTTGGCAGCTGGACAAACCAGGGAGATGTTTCTGTTGAATACTTCTGCAGAACCCAGTACAGTAAGTAATTTTCCTTGCTGCCATGAGGTGCTATGTATGTATGTATGTATGTATGTATGTATGTATGTATGTATGTATGTATGTATGTATGTATGTATGTATGTATGTATGTATGTATGGGTGTGCATGGGCATGCATATGTGTGCAGTAAAACACACACATACACAGCAGTACTTCCTAGTTTCTCTTCAAACTTCTCACAAAATCCCCTTAGAGCTTGTGTTGCACTTTGTTACCTCACTTATCCAAAATTAGCAGTCTTGTGAAGGAGTCATTCTTTTGCAAGACTGCTTTTCATATAAGAGAAATGAAATGTTGTTTTTTGTTTTAGTTTCAGGGGTGGGTGGCCGGTGGGGGAAGTAACATTTAAGGAAGCATGGATTGTCCCTGGCCATTAGTGGCATAGTTTGCCAAGTTTAGTATAGAACAAGGATGATGTATCTTTAAGAGCTGAGGAAGGAAAAACAATTGGCAGCTGGAACTGCTTGCCTTGTAATGGTGCCCTGGAGGAAAACTTGCACTTGGTACAGTTCTCCCTTTTGTAAAATAATTATGGACACAGGGACCCTGGTGCATTTTCCTTGAAACGTCACAAAGGAGGCCACAGTGCAATGCCAATGTTGTATTTCAGTTTAATTGGACCACTGCAATTTACAAGGTACTAAATCAAAATACAACCCAAACAGGTTTCAGGAGTAGTTGTCCATGGCATGTTTAGCAGACAGATGGAAGAACACTGACTTTTGCTTAATAAAAATGAAAAAGAAAAGAAAAGTTGCTTTGCATAAATTGTGCAGGAGACAATTTCCAAAGACATAATTCTTGGTGCCTTATTTGTACATTGCAGAGAAAGAGATGTTCTAGTGTGTAAGTTATTCATGTAATAGGTATCACATTTTTCCAGATATTACTGGCCTTTAGAGTTTACTTAGATTTTAGTGGATTCCTTTTTATAAAAAATAAAACTTTATTGCAGACATCAATGAACATAAAGTCACAGCATAGGGAGGCTGATAGTGGGGTGAGGGGGTTGGGTGGGGGCTACTGAATCTGTGTCCTGCTTGTGAATTTCTTTTGTGGTTAGCCAGTGCAGGAAAGAGGATTCTGGACCAGATGCAACATGGCCTCTTTTACTGGTTAGATTTATATCCTGACTTTCCTCCAGTTAGTTTACAGAGGTCTCTCCTTCTCTTCATTGTAGCTTCGCAACTACTCTGTGAAGTAGCTCAGAGTGACAGAGGGGGAATTAACTCAAGGCTATCCAGTGAATGTTCATGTCTTTGGAGGAATAGAATCTGGTTCTCCTATATTCCAGCCCATCACTCTATCCACTATGCCACACTGGTGGCTCTTGTTTTTGCTCTGCTATAGAAGAGACCTTTAGCAGATGAATCTTGTGCTTTTTTTCTGTGTACATTTTGAGTCGTGGGCCTCCTTGTGCCTCAGTTTCAATGGGCTAGAAATCAAATAACTAAATATGATGTTGTATTAACTCAGCCTTCCTCAAACTGCTATTCTTCAATTATATTGGACTGCAACTCTCAAAATCCTCAGTCAGTATCTCAGCCCCCTCCCCCTTCGCCATCTATACAGTGGTGCCTCGCTTAACGAGTGCACCGTTTAACAACGAATCCGCATAGTGATGCGTTTTTTGAAATTGCTAATGTAATCGCATTGTGATGTTTTAGATAGGGAAAACATCGCATTGCGATGATCGGTAAGTGTTGCGCTTACCGATCTTCGCATTGCGATGTTAGGGAAACACTGATCGGCTGTTCCAAAATGGCCACCGGGTACAGAAAACGGCTGCCCGCAGCGTTTTCGTGCCCTGCCCTCGCTTACCGAGGCAGCAAAATGGCAGCCGGATGGGGAATCTTCGCTTACCGGTGAGTTTTCCCCCATAGGAACGCATTAAACAGAGTTTAATGCATTCCTATGGGGTTTTTCCTTCCGTATAGCGATGTTTCCAGATAGCGACATTAATCCTGGAACGGATTAACGTCGCTATGCGGGGCACCACTGTATTTGCAAAATGCTCATGGTGGGCAGAAATGTTGCCACACACTTATCTCGTCATGGCTAGTTTAACTCTCATTTTAAGTCATTTTATTCAAGAACATTTTATATTGCTTTTAATTTAAAAAACAAACTCACAACTGCTTCTCATAAAAACAGATGCAGAAGAGCCAATTGCTAGAAAAAAGTGATTGTTCTAAAACAATTGGAACAAAGCAATTATTTTAAAAAGTGATATAATTAATTGAAACCTGGAATAACTGACAACATTTAACAGAGAAATGCATGGGCAAGTACATAAGTCTTTAGTGGTCTAGGAGGGTGAATGGCTTAATGAATTGTGACCTTGACTGCAAAGGGCAAGGTCAGGAATTAAAATCCCCACCGTGCCTCCCAGGAGAAGAGCCAGCTTATATAGCCTTGGGCAAGCTGCATAGTAGTAGAAAAACTTGACTGACACCATGTGCCTATGATAGGGAGATGATGTTACAAGACAGAATTCAATTCTTCAAAAAAAACTTAATGTTTTTGAATGTGGGATATTGTTCTTCTGTATCCATGATTCAAAATGTCAGGAAATGGCCCAATATCGCTGCATAATATTGTGCCCACATTGCTAGCAGGAAAAAGGATGGCAAGCTTTACATAGTCTTGGGAACACCAATAGAGGCATTCAGTTTGGTCTACAATACAGTGGTGCCTCGCATGACGACGTTAATTCGTTCCACAAAAATCGCTGTCGAACGAAAACGTCGTCATGCGATTTTAAAAAGCCCATAGAAATGCATTAAAACCCAATTAATGCATTCCTATGGGCTTAAAACTCACAGTCCAGTGAAGATTCTCCATAGTGTGGCCATTTTCACTGCCCGTGCAGCGAGGAATCCGTGCCAGAAAACAGCAGGCGGCCATGTTTTTCACCCAGCGGCCATTTTGAAACCGCTGATCAGCTGGCCAAAAATTGTCGCTTTGCGATGATTGGTTACCGAAACAGGGAACTGATCATCGCAAAGCGAAATTCCCCCATAGGGAACATTGTTTTGCGATCACTTTTGCGATTGCAAAATCTTCAATGTAATGCGATTTCGTCATCAAACGGAGCACTTGTAAAGCGAGGCACCACTGTATACCCTTTTCTGCTCACTACCATTCACAAAGTGACACCCAGGAAGGGAAAATCCCAGATGCTAGCTCCTTTTTTTAATTAAAAAAAAAAATCAGTTAACCACTTTTCACCGAAACACAAAGCAACTGTTAAGGCTATTCTTTGACAAGTGTGAATTGAGACAATCTGTCTCATATTAGGCTACAGCTGTTAGTTTGCAAGACTTCCGCAGAACTTACTGGAAAATACAATATTGCCAGGAGTGGAGAGGAATAGGAAGAGAGAACAATCTAATATGAGATGTTGTTGGCTTGCAAGATCCGAGCAGAGCTATTAAAGACAGGACATTTTGGAGGTCATTATCTCATATAGTCAACCCACATTAGAAATTATTTGGTGACACCTAACAGTTTTGGAGTAATTTCACAGCTTAAATGAGGGGAGCTTCTGAATATTTGTTCTGTTCTTTAAATATCTTTTAAAATACTTTACGAATGGACACAAAAACCATTTGCCAGCATGAATTCCTATTTGGCCAGGAAAGTGTTAAAAATTCTTCTCTTGGAAGTCAGCTAAGAAGGAATTGAGTCAAAAGTTCAGATTGACCCAGAATTAGAGCTGATTTCCCCTTTGGAGACTTGTATCAGGGGCCTGATCTCAGAAATCCTAAGAGAATGTTTACTGAAAGTTCTCACAGCTGGGAGAAACATACTGTAACTGCTCTGTGCATTTGTAATGCAGAAATACTTCGAATATACCATACCAAATTGGTATGAGTTTCTCCCCTGAAACCAGCTGTGATTTCAGACTAAATCATATCACTGTATTTAATAAAGTAAGATGGCTTAGTGGGACTTTTTTTCTCTCTGGTATTTTCTTTTTGCAGTTTTCCCGTGAGATACGGCAGAGAATGCAACGGACAGTCGTCTAATGGGGACCCTTCTGTGCTTCTTCAGTGTGATGACAGCGTGTTGGCTCTTTTGACAACAGTGAAAGGACAATGGGATCCAGTGCTCTTGGGAAAGCTGCCACATTGGATGAGCTCTTAAGCACCTGTATTAGAATGTTTGGTAGGAGTCCTCCATTTTTCCTAGATATATTTTAACGTGTTTGTAGTTTTTATTTTTCCTGGAAGGTATGGTTGAGTCAATATTAGCACATCTTGTACCGCATGGCATTACATTGTGACTTGTCATTGTCTTTGGACTACGTAGCATATGCAGTATATCAAACTACTGAGAGGTTGAGATCAGATAGAGTGAGCCCACCTGCTGCTTTAAAATTATGCCGATTGCTTACATTTGCCTGTTTGTAACCATAGTGGCTTGCAGATTTCAAAGAAGAGGGAAATAATGGAGATGGGGTTGTGAAGTGGCTGAAGCCAAACAACTCACTGTCCCACTGCCAGACAAATAGCTAGCAGAGGAAATCAGCAACATTTGTAAAATATAATCTTAGGAAAAGGCTGCACATGGTCTTGCAACCTTACTCTCACACAAGCAACATAGGGCACAGCAAATAAAGCCCATTTCAAATTTGAACCTCATAATTCCAAAGTATTGTAATGAAAAAAGCATTTTGAAGGAGCTAATGACAAATGTGCCACTTGGAATTCATGATCACAGTCAATGTGCTCTACTCTGTATCCCCACAGTTCCTTTTAAAATGATGTATGCTAATTCATTTCCATGCTATGTATATCAGGCAACAAGGATTCTCCAGCTCATCTGGCCTTGTGCGAGTGTTTTGACGTCTTCCCATGTAATATGTAGTGCCTTCCAGTCTTGCATCAGTGTTCTGCACCATGTTATTTGAGGTCATTCTCACTGCTGTTTGGTGCTGGTGTGTGTCCAACTCATTGCTACCTTGGGATCTGATTGTTCTCCATATGAAAAATATGGCCAGCCAGTTGGAGTCTTCTACGCACGATGATGTTATGATGTTTATACAAGCTGCTCCTTCAGCGTACCTACTTGATGGTAATGTGATTGAAATACCAGATCTTTAAGATTCGGAGGAAAAACATCTGCTGAAAGACATTGTGCCTCTTGTTGATACTTGCTGACTTCTTACAAGTCTCACTGGCATAAATAGCTATCTGGATCACTGTAGAGCCAGCCAGCCAGAGCTTAATTGTCTATGATATGAATGGTGAGGACCAGAACTTGTTCATCTCCCAGAAGATGACTATCATAGCACTTAATGCCCACTACTGCATCTCCATTCCAGGCAATCGTACTAGCCTCTCCACTTCCACTAGCTGCTGCTATCTGAGTACAGTTCCCTGTATTGGGACTGTGGGGTTCACATGCATGATTTTTTATTTCTCACCTGAAAAGTTGAGTGAGCAGTCATGCTGGGTAGGTGGGGAGGGAAGCGTGCGTTGCCTGAGGAATGGGTGAATGTGCAGGGGAGGTGGGAAGATGCTGTGCCTGACAACACCTGTGGGAGTGCAGCAATGAATTGGATTGGTCTTCTAAACCAAGGTTCATGCCCATCTCTAGTACTCACTATAACTGGCCCCAGTCAATAATCTGGCAGTTAACTTTTGAACAGTTAATGTTTCCAAACTGTTTTCAAAGGCAGCCCACGTAGAGCATGTTACAGTAATCCAAGTGAGATGTAACTAAGGCATGTATCACTGAAGCCAAATCAGACATCTCAAAGAACGGGTGCAGCTGTTGCACCAGATTTAACTGTGCAAACAGCTACCACCAAAACTTGTGCATCCAGGCTCAGATCTGAGTTTTCAGGGGGAGTATAACCCTATCCATCACAGATTGTGTCCCTCTTCCCTCATCTGCATTCCGATTGACCAGGAGCTCCTCTGTCTTATTTGTATGAAGTTTCAGTTTGTTTGCCCTTACCCAGTCCATTACTAACACCAGCACCAGTTTAGAACTGAGACAGCTTCCTTGAAATTTTGAAGGAAATGAGAGAAAGTGTCGGATGTCATCAGGATATTGGTGACACAGAACCCCAAATCTCTGAACCACCTCTCCCTGCAGTTTAATGTGTATGTTAAATAGCATGGGGAGGACAAAACAGAATCCTGGGGGATGCAACAGGCCAATGGCCAGGGAGTCAAACAGGAGTTCCCCAGCACCACCTTCTAAGTTTCACCCTCTAGAAAGGAGGAAACTTCTCTCTGTCCCAGAGAGACAGGCCAGAAGGATACCATGATGGATAGTACTGAAAGCCACTGAGAGATCCAGTAGAACCAACATGGACACACTCCCCTGTTCAGTTCTCAGTGTAAGTAATCCACCAAGGTGACCAAAACTGCCTCCATCCCATAGCCAGGCCCGAAATCAGATTGAAATGAATGTAGAGGATCTGCTCCTTCTGTGAATCCTTGGAGCTGAGAAACCACCATGCATTCCAGTACCTTGTCCAGAAATTAAATATTTGAAACTGGCTAATAGTTGTCCAGTAAAGTAGGATTCAAGGAGGGCATTTTCAATAATCGTCTTATTACTGTCTCCTTAAAACATACCGGGATTTTACCCAGATGCAAGGAGCCATTCACTGCTCCTCTTACCCTCTTGGCCAGTTCCCTTCTGGCTGCTTTTATAAGCCAGGAGGGGCAAAAGTTTAGAATACATGTGGTGGTTTTCATCTCTCTAAGAATCCTGTCCAGGTTGCATGAATTGAAACATATCCATTATCATGAGACAAGCAGAGATAAAAGTTTCACCTACAGGACCTGTATTAACTACAGCATCCAAATCAGAGTGCACTGCTGTCCTCTGAAGATGCCAGCCACAAAGACTGGTGAAACGTTAGGAAGAACAACCTTCAGAACACGGCCAAAGAGCCCGAAAAACCCACAACAACCATTAGATCCCGGCCATGAAAGCCTTTGTGAATACATTTTCTGCCATCATTGCTTTAGCCACCATCCCACTTGTTTTATCACTGTCAGCTTCCTGGTAAACCAGAACACTCCTCTAGCTCTACACTGTAGGAGGGAAGCTAATGAGGAATTGTGTCCACAGTCCTGTTCAGTTCCCCATTCCAGATGTCAACCAGGGCTTCAGCAAAATTGTTTGTCAAAGTAACAAGAAATTCCCCAAGAGGCGTCAGGAAACTCGTCAAATCCTTGCACAAGTTGAGTTCCAATAAGGCTGAACCCCACCAGATAGTGTTCTGTCCATGACAATGGAACCACAGAGAGTTCCTCCACATCCAGATGTTTTGTTGCATGTTGGGTGAAACAGGTACAGGTATGGCCAGCCACCCTGCCTACTCTGGCAAAATAAATGCTCTCATCTTGTTTAAAATGATACAAAGGCTGACATTCTGTTGCTTAACATAGTAAATTTCAGTTGAGTTGGCCCACTGAATCAGTGGGGATTTGGTGAGTCAACTCTTTTGTAAGTTCAATTGATTCAAATGGGCCTACTCTGCTAAAATAAGTCACAACTAGAGTGGGACTATTTACATTAATGGAACTTACCTGACTCACCAAACCGCCACCAGTTTAATAAAGCTATTATAGTGCACTGTATGTTGCTAAACAAAAGGATTTCAGTTTGTACATTTTTGTACATAGAAATTACCACTGTGTAGGGAAACTGTAACATGTAAAGCAGCCGAAGAGAAACTGAACACTACTAATCAGGAGCATGAGAAGAGGATGCAGATCACCTCTCACAGAAAATAACAAAATGGCCTGGACTGGGAGATATCCCTTGGGGGGGGGGATGGAAAGCTGGTGTGTATACCTTTACATTGACGTTATAGGTGACTTTTGCTTCCTTTTCTAAAGTGCTCATTTGGCAACTCACTAGAGATGGGGGTATTCGTATTTGTATATGAATATCCTCACACAGGTGGTGTTAACGAGGGTCTAGCCCTATGGGGCCGGATGGTCCACCCACCGATCCACCGTGGACACGGACAGCAGGATTCTACCAATGGCTCCTCAGTGTGCGATCTGCTTGCCACTCTTCGACCTCGCACCGAGGCTTGTCCTCCTGCCTCCTGCCAGGAGTGGTGAGCGGATTGCGTGCTGCAGAGCTATTGATAGAATCACACCATCCCTGTCCACGGTGGATCGGTGAGTGGACCGTCCAGCCCCATGGGGCTGGACCCTCATTAATGCCACCTGTGCGGGCATATTTGTGTACGAATACACCCATCTCTACAATTGACCAATGTAACCTGTATTTTACCATTGTTGATAGCAATTTAGAGATATTTGAGTGTTCACATGTGTGTCTGCATGTGTAAGAGAGAGAAACCATTCAGTTGCCTTCAGTGTAAATATTTTGACATTGGTACTGTTCAGTAATGCACATTATCTTGTTTTGTGTTTTTACAGATCGCAAAGGGGAACTGAGTAACAATAATTTGCCAAGAACCTTCCTATTAATGCATCGATGGTATTTACCATCCACAGAATTGGCAAGCAAACTTCTCTCCCTATATCCTTTCAGATATGTATATTGACGATACCAACAATCTGTCGATCATTGTACTGTACATTGATTTTGTAGACAGTATTTAAGAAATGGAAATGACTAACTTACAACTTTGTCCTTTGAGTTCAGATTGGTCATTGAGACTTACATTAATTCTTCAAATTTTGTAAATTACAGATTAGTAAATTGGTGTAGTCATGTTCAGATACATGTCTTCTGAACAGAAAAAGATATTGCTGTATTGTAAATAATTTCTAGCCGCTTTTGAAAATGATTACAATGTTGAAAACAGTGGCTTTTAAAAATAACTATGATCATGATACTGAAAATCCATTGCCAATTATTTACATCCATATGTATTTATGGAGATAATTTTTATCTGCCTTCTAATTTGTTTGAGCTCTCTTTAGTGATGGAAGAAGCATGAGATAAATTTATCAGTCAAACCAGTAAATAAATGAGCTAATGCAGAAGAAAGACAAAAATAAAATGTATAACTTCAACAGCCAATAAATAAGGCAACAGTTTAACAAACAAAAATACTCTATTTTTAAAAGTTAAACTGCAGGGCATAAAAGCTTCTTTAACTAATCTACATATAGAGATGCCAGCGGGGAAAACTGCAGTCAAATCCGCTTAAGAATCTGCTATTTCATGAGGTAAATGAGTCTTTGTTTCACTAGCATGTGCAACACGTTTACAGATACATATTCATATATTTCAGAAAATTAAAAGAAGGAAACTATCTGGTCCAATAGGATGATAGCGATGGCATTATACAGAGAGCCATGTGATGCAGGAGATGCATAATTTGATCTCCTGGGTTTTTTTCCTTTTTATTTCTTTTTCCTCACTGAAGGGATTACTTTGGGTTTGTGGTGCAAGGAGGTTAACCTTTCCCCGGTACCATTTTCACCGTCTAATTCCTTCTTCCTAGAAGCTGCTAATGACTTCATAGTGTAGAACATGAGCCCATATTATACTTGTCTGCTCCACACACAAAAATTGCAGCCAAATCAACTGGGTGAAATATGCCATTTCTAATTGTTAAGCAAAGACATGTAACGGAGTACATACTTTACAGCAGGAATGAGGAAACATATTGAGGAGGTTTTCCCCCCCCCACACACCCAACTCTTCTTAGGCTAGTTAGAGATTTCTAATTGTTAAGCAAAGACATGTAACAGAGTACATACTTTACATCAGGAATGAGGAAACATATTGAGGAGATCCCCCCCCCCACAGCTCTTCTTAGGCTAGTTAGAGCAGTAGTTCCCAACCTTGGGTCCCCAAATGTTCTTTGACTACAGTTCCCAGAAACCTAAGCAGCACAGCTGTGTGGTGAAGGTTTCTGGGAATGTTAGTACAAGAACATCTGAGGATCCAAGGTTGGAAACCATTGGGCTAGAGGTTATCATCATCAGATCCCTAGTCAAAGCACCAAGGTTCAAATGTTCTCTTGCTCTTTCCTTGTGCACAAGACCATTTCCTGAATGCTCTGGAGAGTTGTTGCCCATAAGAGGGTGAGGCTAGATCGACCTCTCTGAATCTATCAGTGCTGCTAGGGCACATGGAGGTAGTAGTCCAGAAGTGGTGAGGCACAAGGTTGAGAAAATTTGGCTAGATGGACAGACCTATGGTTTTCCTCACCACAAAGCAGGTATGTGGCTTTGTACGTCTATGCACCAGTCTAGTCTGTTGGTAAAACTGTCCCATAGGAGTTGTCTGGAAGATTCTGGAAGTTGTATTCTGGGGGAAAAATACACAAAAAAAATTCACAACTTTTTTCTGAGCATTGCCTTATTCAGAATTTTTGGGCCTTTCTGGGTAGGGAATTCTGGGAGTTGTAGTCCCAACAGTAACTTTTCTGAGCTCTGATAAAATGTTTGAAAGTGGTAGCCATGTTAGTCTGAGCAATCATGCCAACAAGAAAAAGAAAAGTAAAAGCAAAAAATAAAGAAGACAAAGACGTTGTGGCCTCTTAAAGACTAACTGTGAGCTTTTGTGGAATAAGTCCAGAGTCCAGACATGAGAATGAGAGACTACATGGCAAAGCATTCATACATGGCTCTAAGATAAAGAGACAGTGGTGCTTGGTAGACTCAGATTGCAAATTGTGTGAGTCATTGTGGCTTTTCACACCATTTTAATGACTGAAAACCTCTCTTTGGTATTCTTTTTTATTGAAGCTTTGTTCTGTAGAGGGCAATAATGATTAGTGACTAAAGAAACCCCAAGCTATAGGAGACAGCCGCAGAAACAACATAGGGTAATGAGTTAAGAATCACTGGCTTTAACTTTCTGTCATGGTGGCTGGCTGCGGCTTAAAAAGAACCTGGCTATGAAAAATGACTGCAGATGACTGTGACAACCCCAGACCTACTGGGATATGCCACAGTTTCACTAAGCTACCACCAACCATTCCCTGTAAGGAGTCACACAGACCAGGAATGGATTTTTAACAAATAAAGGAATAAGGTTTATTTAAATAACACACAGGGAAAATAAAATGATCAAGTGAATAAGATACAGTAACGTGGCTTAGTCTCAATCATACATACACCAGTTTGGTTCACACAGAACACTTAACTTGAAGCACAGACCCTGATCCTATCAGTTCTGGCTAACCATACAGACACCTGAACCTATCAGGTTGGTACTGACTGACACACAGTAGTACCCTGTCTGACACACAGACTCCCACACCAGCTTCTTCTTCCCAGCTTCCCCTTCAGCCTTTGTTCTGTAGAGGGCAATAATGATTAGTGACTAAAGAAACCCCAAGCTATAGGCAACAGCCGCAGAAACAACATAGGGTAATGAGTTAAGAATCACTGGCTTTAACTTTCTGTCATGGTGGCTGGCTATGAAAAATGACTGCAGATGACAACATCATTATTACTGTATCTCACATTTGATGTTGTGTGTGGCATTGTTGGGTCATGTTGCCAGAGTAAATATAGGGGCAGAGCCGGCATCTAGGTTTGTAGCAGGTTATAGTCCCCACCTCTGTATCCATGCTGTGCAACTTGTAGTTGTTTGAGATAGTGAGGTTGTCTGTAAGCAAGCATAGCCCTGCCACCAAGGGCTTGGGACAGTGAAGTATTCTTGTCAAGGATGGGTTAGAGAATATTTATGATGCACGTGAGTAGTTTCGTTTGTTAGCAGAAAGTGACAAGTAGTGGCCTTTGGTTGTTTTCTCTTCTAAGTCTGTCTTGCAATAGTAGCTTCTGGGTATTCCTTTTGTCTGGTTAATTTGTTCCTGAGTATTGCAGTCTGAGAAATGTGTTTTGTAGATCTTTGAATTTCGAGTCTCTATCTTGTGGGTCTCCTCAGATGCAATTGTACCTGAGGGCTTAGTAGTGTGTTCAGGAAGGAAGCTGGAGGCATGCAGGTAGGTACACCAATTAGTAGGTTTTCAATACAGTGTAGTGCTAATATGTCCATGTTGTAGCTTTACAGAGTACCATGAATATGCACTTGTTTATCTTTTTTGAAATGACGTTGAATACAACAGGTTCTGTTTGAGGAATAACTTAGAATAATGTATTGTTTATAGAGAGAGTTTGATATGGAACTGGTTATATATAAATATGGTTATGTATAGATACGGGTTATTTGCTAGATCAGATCCACCTTGATGTTTTGTCATGTTTTTCAAATTAGCCTTCAGTATTTGAATGACATGCAAAGATTCCATGGAGTTATTACCCCAGTACAGTGGGAGAACCCATGCCCATAAAACATCTCCAGCCAGTGCAGTTGACTAAAGGCACAAAGTTCTTTGACTTAAGAAGCATAGTGGTTTGGTTTCAGTGAAATGATATTTCCATAAACTTATGCAAACTATACTATTAATACATACTTTAAAAAGTCTTGGTATCTCAATAATTCTTCTCTCATAATTTCAGATATTGGATATCAGAATTTCCTGCAGAATTTAACCTGGACCTTGGTTTGGTCCATCTGACTGAAGAATTTCAAGAATTAGCTAGCCAGCTAGGCTATGAAGAGCACGTCCACCTTATTGATATCTCTAGCATGTAAGGATTATTATCTGTGAGGTATCAAAGCAATAATTCTTCGGTCGTGACTCTGTAAGATGGTCTATATTGACAGCTATTGTAAAACGGAGGGGCAAAAACCATGATATATTCTAATATAAATCGAGGAGGCATCTATTTTTATTTTGTGACATGGAATTTATGTGGTGGTATTGGTGATATAAAAACTAATTTCTAACAAATTTAAAATTTAGAGTATACTGCACTAATTGATAATGATGAAGAATCATGTAGCTGTTACTAATCTAGTGCAGGCAGCATATGTTTAGGGAGATTCTCTGTCATTACTTTTCTTATGTGGAAAGTGACTGCATTTGAAGAGGAGAGGTTCTTATTCACATGGAACTTCTCTGTGATCTAGAACCCGGATTTTCCAGCATTCCTGACTATATGGAAAGCCTCGATGTAATCAGTAACCTTCAGATATTTATTTTTCTGCATTGACGGAGGGCATGGGCTGGGTATTTTTCTCTTTATGTGTTGAATCCAGTGCCTGAATAGGGCTATCCAGGATGGGGTAAGTGACGCCTGAATAGGGTTTATGTTTGCTTCCTTTTCAGACTGTTAGAATGGAATGGATTTATGTTTGTCATCCCCCTTACACAACGTAAGTTTAAATATACAGTACCTAGATAATATATTTGGTGTTGCTGAGAGTATGACATATGTCTCTTTTAAAGGAGTAAGATAATACTGAGCTGCAAAACATCTGACTAGGCCAAATTATGAAGTTAGATTGGCATTGGTCAGAATCCTACTGTGTACCTACACTTGTGCAAGTGCAAGAACTTAAATCATCGCACTGAATTGCTACTAGCTGCGGAGTTGCCCCTTGTGTCCCTTCTCATCTGCCAAGTCATGCCACTGGGATCCAATGAGGAGTACAAGCAGTGATTTCTTAATTAGCAGCAAACTGTTTCTGTATTTTTGCACTCACACCAATGTAACTAACCAATAAGATTGTGGCCACTGTTTTAGCTTCTCTAATCGCTGAGAAGCATGTGGTGTCGATCAGGTTCTATAGAAGCTCATTGGTCCATGCAGCTGAGAGGGGCAGGTGCAGGACAAATGCTAACAGTGCCTCATATCATTGTTTGGGTTCATGCAACAAGGACAAGTTTGTAAAAGGAAAGCTTGCCTGTGGACAATGGGGCACTTTCTCAGCAGGAAAAGGTATGTCTGAAGACCATACCTTAAAACAATAGCCACATTTTCAGCTACAAACCAACTTTTAAACCAAAAGATGGCAACAAGGGACTATCCAGCTTTTGTCAAATTGCAACTGCTTCAGTTCCTTATCATTGGCTGTGCTGGAAAGGCTGATGGGAGTTGTAGTTCAGCCACAGGGCCTCAAATTAAATCTGAAGCAACTGTGTATCCTACTCTTCTGTGCATATGGTCAGATTGGATGATATCATTGACTAAATCCATGTAGATCAGGGGTCTCAAAACATGCGGCCCGGGGGCTATTTGCCGCCTGCTGGACAATA